CGACAATTTTTTTAGGTTTTTAAAAAAATCCTCTTTCGATCTCATCCTCCTACAGGAAACACACTCTGGACCTTCCACTGTTAAACAGTGGGAAGACGAATGGACTGGCGAGTCCATTTGGAACTCCGGTCCAAGTCATTACTGTTGCGGGGTGGCAATACTCTCTAAATCCAACATTTCATTAAACGAACTAAAAAGGGATAATAACGGTAGGATATTAAATGTCATGATAAAAATAGACGAACACGAAATGCAGGTGCTGAATATTTACGCTTCTAATGTGCCGAGAGAAAGGCGCCTTTTTTTTGGCGACCTTGGTGATTTCTCGCAGGACACAGGACTACCCGTCCTGTTGGCCGGAGACTTCAACATGGTCGAAAGCCTGCCTCTTGACACAGAAGGCACGAACAACGCTAAATATCACACCTACGGCGTTGACGAACTCGGGATATTCCAAGGTAAGTATAATCTAGTTGATGTTTTTCGTTTCAAGTTCCCAAATAAAAGAGAATTCACATGGCGAAATCAGAAGGCAAAATGTAGACTCCATCGAATCTACTGCCCTGATAAAGTCGCCAAAAAAACAACATATACAAAAATTCTCACCAACCCCTTTTCCGACCACGAGTTCGTGACAACAACCGTCAATTTTAGTAAAACAAGGAGAGGACCAGGATACTGGAAATTAAATTGTTCCCTTTTGGAAATAGAGGTGCATAGGTAAAAAATTGAACTCTTAATTAAAGATTGGCAAGTTAAAAAACGGTCCTACAACTCACTTTTAAAATGGTGGGACGACTGTAAACTTTTTGTTAGGGTTGAATTACAACATATATCGATACAGGAAAGTACGAAAAACAAAAAACAAATGAAAAGGATTGAAAACGAAATCCAACGGGAGCGACAAAACGCTAACCCGAATTTAGATAGCATCAAAGAAAAACGCGATGCTCTTTTCTTGCTCCAGTTTCCAGGAGCGTTTATTCGCACGAAACAAAAACTAATTGAAGAAGGAGAAAAACCTTTAAAATTTTTATATAGTTTGGAAAAAGTTCAACAGCGGAACAAGTCAATTACCGTAATTCGCAAGAACGACGGCACATTGACGAGTGAACCTGGTGAGATATTAAACTCCCTCGTTTCATATTACAAAAACATTTACACCAAAACAAATTTATGCAAAGACAGCCAAAACTATGTCTTGTCACACATCACTAAACTTTTGAGTGATGATGAAAATCAATTTTTAAACACCTGCCTAACCGGCGCGGAGTTAAAAGAAGCCCTTTTTAAATTTGAAAACGGAAAATCTCCGGGCTATGACGGACTTCCAGCTGAATTTTATAAAACTTTTTGGCACATTTTAGAAAAAGATTTTGAAGAGCTTGCTTACGAAATACTTTTCGTAGAAAAAAATACCAGCCACTCTATGAAAAAATCAATAATTTCACTAATTCCCAAGCAAGGAGATCTCACTGAATGTAAAAATTGGAGGCCCATATCCCTAATCGGCGCTGATTACAAAATAATCACAAAAGCGTTGGCCCTAAGACTTGCAAAAGTAATGGGGAAAATTATAGAACCAAATCAAACTTGCGGAATTCCAGGTAGAACAATTTTCTCAAATTTACACTTTGTCCGTGATCTAATAGATTACGCGGAATTTAAAAATCTATCTAGTTTCATTTTGTCAATAGATCAAGTAAAGGCGTTTGACAAAGTCGATCGTGCGTTTCTGCTGCAGATTATCCAAAAATTTAATCTCGGAGAAAACTTTATATCCTTTATTAACACTCTATATTCAGAAATTTCGGCATCTATTCTGAATTGCGGGTTCTAGACAGCAAACAACTACAAACCAGAATAGAGTTTTATCTGAAAAAAATTGACCTTAACCTTGTATTTTCACTTTTTGGGTCAACTCGTCTTCGAGTTGGTCGAATCCGAAGAAACAGACTCGTTGAGGACAACCTTTTAATCTCTACCTTAAAACTATGGGAGTAATGGCCCTTGAAAGTATATCCGAATTTTAAGTAACCACCCGTTATAAGGCTGAGGCAAGAAGAAGAGATATTTAGTCTTATTAGCAAGTCCTTTAAATATGAATTAGTCTTCTGAATATTCAAGCAACGAGTGTTTGGAGGATACAAACTATGAGTTTTCTTATAACTAAGTATATTTATTGTAAAACTTTATGTATTCTTGTTTTTAATTTATTTCGTACCTCATTTTTTTTTTAATAATATTAATACTATTGCTGCGATTGAAGTAATCATTCAATACCACAACAAAGTGGTATTGAATTATTTCAAAGTTATTTCAAACTTTCATGACTTGAACTATCAAATTGGTAAAGAAAATATTTTTTCTCCGATAGATTGTGTGGGACGAATCACTGTGCGCCAGAGTGATTGCTTACCTTCTATAAGGTATAACTTTTCCATAGGACGCTTAGTATAATTTTGTTTTTTTGTTTTATAAGTTGAGACTTTTACTATTGCAGAACGAATAATTTTATCACTTCCTGTAATCAGTGACACTACTTTTCCTAATCGCCATTTGTACCTTTTAATATTGGAGCGAATAACAACAATTTTTCCCAGTTCAATCGATCGACTCTTACTGGATCACTGCTTGTGGAATTCTCTAAGACTAACTAGATATTCACTTGTAAATCTTACCCAATAGTGATCACGTATCAGATTTAAATATTTCATTCGTTTAGTTAACTGAATCTTACTTTCAAGCTTGTCAAGATTTGTACCTTTAATTTCGTTAGGTGAAACCATGCATCAAATGGGAAGAGGTAAGAATTACCTCAGTGTCTTCATGGTAGGTGTATGTTATTGGTCTTGAGTTAAGAAGACCCTCTTTTTCACAAAGAATTGCTTCCAGCTTGTCGTATCTGATGCTACTTCTAAACACAACCTTGAGTAGCAATTTTTTGACCGATTGCACTAGACATTCCCAAAAACCACCCCACAAGGGAACAGCCTCTATAATATATTTTAAATTGATTCCTAACAACAAAAGCTCCTCGCTTAATTTAACTTCTTCATTCTTAAAACATGTCTGATATTTTAAGATTTGGAATTCCTCTTCTTTGAATAAAACTTTTTAAGCATAGAATAAATGATTTTGCAGATAAGTCAGGTACAATGTCAAGGTGAACTCTGTTAGTGGCGCAGGTAAATAACACTACATGCACAGGATACATTTCAGAATAATCATCATCGAATATAGCTTTAACGTACAATGGTCCTAAATAATCAACTCCAGTATGCTGGAAAAGAAAACTTGTAGTGACACGATAGTAAGGTAAAAGTGGTGATACTTTAGATGTAAAAGCCTTCCCAAACAACCTTTTACTGATTGAACATTTATCAATGAACGAACAAGTTTACGACCTTGTAGGATCAAGTATTTGACCTTATTTGGCAGAGAGTTTTCTTTACACCTACATGTAGAGTTTGTTTATGAGTCTGATATATTATTAACTCTGACAAATAAAATTCGCTTGGTAGCAACCCTTACGGAAATATTCCATGGAAAACCCATGGAGTTCCATGAGTAAACCATGGTTTTCCCATGAAAAACGGGAATTCCATGGAATTTCCATGGGTAAATTTCATGAAAATTGAAATCCTATGGAATTTCCATGGGTGAACCATGTTTTTTTTTTCATAGCTTAAGCTGCGCCATGGTTGTTACAAATGCGCTTTTAAAGATGGCGTCATAGCTCGTAGAGTTATGATTATTTTTAAATTAGAAAACAATACTTACTGCATTCTTCTGTTTTTCTGTGTTTAATAAGGCTATGAATTATATGTTTTTTATAATGCAATACATTTATATGTTTTAACTAAACATACAGACATAAACAACTAGATATATCTATCATATTATAATGCATTATAAAAGGGATTATTTTTAATTATATTTTATTATATATCATTTATGCATATACTTATTTTAACTGTTTCCAGTAGCTTTGCTTACTTTGCATAACTTGCAATAGTATAGCAAGTATGTCAAGTAAACCAGTTTGAATTTTAATGCCTACTTGGCAAATTATTTGCCAAATAATTATTATTTGGTTTACAACAAATAAATGTTTAGTTTTAATCTACATTAAATAACTAGTGTATTAATGTACATAGTGTAATTTAATGTACATTCAAACTAGTATAATTATTATTATAAAATTTATCGAACGTATTAAAGAAACTTATTTAAAATATTAATATACAAGCAGTATATTAGATAAGATTAGATAACTAAGATAATAAGATTAGATAACTAATGTACAAAAGATAACTAGTATGATCTTTTTTATTTTTTTTTTATAATAGCCTTAGATTACATAAAAATGCTTGAAGTTTATTGTATCGTAAATGTTCATTAAGTATTAAAAAACATTTTTTTATAGGTATGTCACATGAAAATTTTAAATTCATCAAATTATAGGTTGTTATATATCATTAAAAAGAGCTTAATGTCAATATTCTAAAAGTGAAAAAATTTTCAAAATTGAACCACCCTACAAAAAGTTATGACGTTTTAAGTACCGATTTTTTGATATTAGGATTTGTTGAAGAAACTGTGGTCAAAATAAAGTTTTTATTAACTAAAATTATTATAACTTAACCAATTCTTATCCAAATGTTTATATCTTGGTATCAAAAGATAGATACAAGAGTCATCTACAAATTTATAAAAGTTTCTAGATAACGGGCGCATCCGGGGGTAAGAGGGGGCACAAAACCACCATCCTTACCGGCAATAAAGACTTACTATATTTATAAAAAAGTGTTTTCTTTTAATGAAAATGTAAATTTTTATATGCAAGATGTTTTTGTAATTAGCTATCAGATCACAATCAAATATAGAAGACTCATCATTGCCTTTGGGTGGATGTAAGGGTGATAGTTTAATACACCCTATTATCAAAAATGACTCTATATAAATATTTATCTTTATAATTAAAAACAAATCTAGTATTCAAATCAAAAATTATATTTTACTACTATACAAAATCACTAGCAGCGCACCCTTTGTTTCAAGGGTGTAGATGGGCGAGGGGGCGTGTCGTTGCCCCCCCCTCTTCCTTTTTTTTGACAACCTAAAAAAAAGAAGCTATTTTTAATGAGATTCGAAAAAATATTTAAATGCAATGAAAATAAACACTTTAATTTAAAAACATCTTTTACCAAAACTCAAAATACATCACACAATGCTTTGTGATAGTTATAGATGGTTCCCCCTCTGACCTAAAAAAGAATTTCAAAAACAAAAAATGTTTTATAATATTATTCTAATTAGTTTGCGTCTTGGCTTTTAGTTAATGATTAAGATATTAAATTCCATTAATGAAACTATATATTAATCATTGTTAACAATAGACACGACGTGAACGTAAGCCAGAGCCGTCTATCAAAAAAAATTGCAAGTTCCACTACTCGCTATATATATTTTATGCAAAGTTCCACTACTTGCTATATTTTTTTTTGCAAGTTCCACTACTTGCTATATATTTTTTTGCAAGTTCCACTACTTGCTATATTTTTTTTTTTGCAAGTTCCACTACTTACTATTTTTTTTTTTTTTGCAAGTTCCACTACTTGCTATATTTTTTTTTTGAAAGTTCCACTACTCGCTATATATTTTTTTGCAAGTTCTACTACTTGCTATATTTTTTTTTTGCAAGTACCACTTCTCGCTGTACATTTGCATATTATTGATATATATAGATTTGCATATTATTGATATATATATATATATATATATAAATATATATATATATATAAATATATATATATATATATAAATATATATATATATATATATATATAAATATATATATATATATATATATATATATATATATATATATATCTTACTACTTTATTTTACTATTTTTTGACTTTCTATCTCTCTCTATATATATAAATATATATATATATATATATAGAGAGAGAGAGATAGAAAGTCAAAAAATAGTAAAATAAAGTAGTAAGATAATAAAATGCATTTTTAATTATAAAAAAAATAAATGCAACATATTTACATTAGGAAAACATCAACTCACCGGATACAATGTCAGCAACTAGCTGGAATTTTTTCATATAATAATCAACTGCTTCAGTATCATTTTCTTCTCTAGTCCAATAAGAAATAGTGTATATAATATCTTTCTGAGCTTTTTTAAGTTTTTCTACTCTGCCATTATACAAGACTGTCATTGCTGTATCGGAATCATACCATTCATGGCAAAGATTTCTCCCAACAATTCTTTCACACATAACATCATTTAAATCATCAACTTGCTTGGTAGATAAGTTTTTAAACAAATTCAGAATTTCACTAATAGTTAATAATGTTAATTGTTGCTCTAACTTTCTTTTTTCTTTTTCATCAATTTTTTGGCGTTTTATAGTCTGTCTTTTAGAAATCTCAGCTCTAATTTCAGTATGTTGTAGTCGAGTTTTTATTCGTTTTTTACGTGCTGCCTGAATAGACCACTGAACTACCATTTTCCTAGAAAAGTCATCAAGATTATCCAGATAATCCATTGTCCCATTCTTTTTGGTTCGTAATTTGCAAGATATATAATCAATAGATGCATTAGGAGATCTTCCTTTTGCAGCACTGAACATTCCCATTAACTCTTCACTATCTATGTTATGAAGCCTTGCACTAGCTGTTTCTTTTTCAAGTGCTTCTGTAATGGTAATGGAAAAATAGCGCTTATACTGTCGATTTAAAACCACTTCTATTGCATTGAGGCAAGCCAAGATCATGGCAATGAGCTCGTCATCAATTCTACATATTTTTGTTAATGGTTCTAACACATTTGCTTTGAGAGCATTTCCAAAAAAATCTGTTGTTCTGCAAAATATTGCAGCTGGATCGCATTTGCAGTCTTTAATTGTTTGCACAACATTTTTAACAATCTGGATACCACCAACATGATCAAAATATGCTTTCTCAGATGACACATAAAACATTGTCATCCACGGCCCTGTAAGAAGTTTTCCAAATAAAGCAAGTAGACACATTTGCTTTATAGCAGTTGTATTACAAAATGCTACTCGCAGAACCCTTTGTAAAGTTTTTATTTTTACTGTTCCTATAGTTAAAAAATGTAAAAATTTGTTATAATGTTTTATAAAAATAAAACAAGTGTGAAACAGAATGTGAAGGCGATTTCCACGATACCTTGGAATGATACCTCGTGGTAGTTTATTATTGTCTAAAAAATTAACAAATCCCTTTGGGTCACCTTTACCATCTTTGAACCTCATCTTATTCATAGCCAAAACAATTTTTGCAGCTATACAATCATTTCCATATAATTCGCAGCTATCAAGCTCTAGAGACTTTAATGCTGAACGACACGATGTGACAATTGTGTCAAGAGGGTGCAAATGACAGTTTAATTCATTGAGACTTTTACCCCTAGTTTCACCAATTTTTCTTATTGTAAGATGGTTAACAGATACTCTGTCCGACATTGTGTTTGAAATATTTGATATGACCATACGACGACATTCTTCAAAGGGTTTCAAGTGAAAGTTTGAATATACTAAAGCTGTATGATCCACTTCGTTACATATATGGTTCGCATAATCCACAGCTGTCCCACCTGGTAATTGATCAACAGCAATTACCTGGCATTTATCATTTGAAGTTAAGTGAATACTGTTGATATGAACACCTTCTTGTGTAGTTGCGTCAAACCCAAGAGTAAGATGAGTATTACTAATGATCCATTCAGCTGCCTGCAGATCAGCAATACTGCCAAGCTCACGAGCCATTTGCTCAATAGTGCTACGACAAGGAATGTGAGAAAAAATAACACTGAAATATTGCCCAATTTTGCTTACTAGAAATGGAATGTTACTTGTTGGGACATTACACAATAACATGCAGTATATTATCATTCTCATTTTTAATGGATAGCTTTTACAATCAGTTGTATTTGTAATACTTATCTTGTCCTCGTCCATTTGTCCTTCTAAGCTAGTAATATCCGTATTATTTTTTCTAATCGCAGCATTATGTTTGAGAGCTAACTTTCTAAACTTTTCTCTCTCTTTAATTTTTATTGCTTTTTTTGATGCAATAAGATTGCGAATTTGCCTGCTGTAATAATATGTTTGGTTTTTATGTTTTAAGTCTCTAACCTGAGCTCTTAAGGCTTTTATAATATCTTCTTTTCTTTTAACACTTTGCCTTAACACTTTGCCATAACACTTTGCCTTAACACTTTGCCTTAACACTTTGCCATAACACTTTTCTTTTAACACTTTGCCTTAGAACTTTTAATTTATATGGCAGGCTGGATAATTTTGCTTTCATTGAAGCTATCTTCTTACGATTTTCAATCGTAAGAAGATAGGGCTCAATTTTTCTATTGAAGTCTGTCTAGTAGTTAAATTTGCTTCATGTCCAGCAGAACATGAAGGTTCATTACGTATCAGAGATGTGACACTGCTGTGTTCTGACAATGATAAAACAGAAGAATGTGATATTGTGTAATTAGTGTTACTTAAGATAGGCTGCGATAAAATTGTAATCAGTGGTTCACGGTTTATAAAGGGCTCATTACAAAATGCAACACAACTTTCATATTTTCTTAAAAAATTTTTAGACCAGTTTTTGGCTATGTACACTACTTTTTTGATATGACTGGAGCAAATATTCAAGTTAAAATGCTCATTGACTTTTGCAACTGTTTTGCTAAACAACTCACCATTGCTAGTATAAAGAAACAGAACGTGTCCATTCATGCACCCAATATTTGTGTTAGATGGCAATGTAAAATTACTAATTAAATGTTTTTTGAATTCTCCTTTAAATATGTGTCGACCCATTATACCATTAAAGCATGAAATAGTTACAACTGATGAGTTTCTTAATAAATTTAGAAATGTAAAACAAATCAAAAAAATAATATTTAAATAATAGGTTCCAAGTTTATTTGTCTTAAATATGTATATCACTAAAAAAAAGTTAAATGATCCTTACCACTCACTTTGACACTTACAATAACAGTACCTGTTTGCCACTCAGAATAACTGGTACGAATTTTGCAAGTCAAAATATTTCCATATTAAGTAATAACCATGAGATATATTAGTTTAATATTTAAAAAATCTAAAGAAAAAATAATTGTATATTTATTTTTGACAATATCAATAAATATAATAAATTAATATATGTAACTATGATATTAATATATGTAACTAAACCAAAAGTTATATCAATATACATACAACATAGTTATGACCAAAAAGTAAACATGTAGCCCAATAAACTATTTGAAAATTAAGAAAAAATTAATTGTATTAAAATTACACTTTTCTTGCGTTAGTATTAGTATTTTGAAACCAACAACAATTAAAAGTATTATAAAAACTACTAAACAGGTAAGTAAATTAAAAAAATTTAATCAATTTTGTTGTAAAAAGCTATTGAAGCAAACATAAAACAAAAATATTTTTCAAATAAATGTTTATTTAAAAAAAAAAAAACATTACAATGTCTATAATTAGTGTAGATAGTACCTGTAAATAGCTTTTCACATAAATACTACCATTTACTACAATACACATACAATTTCATTGTATGATTATAAAATATTTTTATTTTCATTTTCAATTTGTTTATTAGTTATCTTTTATGCAAATAGTATTTTTTGTAGATAAGATGAGTGAAGAGATTAATTTTTAATTAATATCTTCACTCATTTTATCTAAAAAAAAGTAATATATAACATTATTAAAAAGTTTACAAAGTTTTATTTTGTTAAACTTAAAAGAATTTTAATTGTGTTGCACCCCCCCCCCCCCTTTGCCCGCAAATGATTTCAGATTAAGGAAAATAGGTACCAAAAGTGCGCCCCAAAATAGACTGCCTGCGCCCCATTTTTTTTCAACGAAATTTGGCAGACAAATAAAAAATGTGTAAACTTAAATGGCTGCAAAAGATAGTTAATTGCTGTCCATATCTTCAATATTTGCTGGATGCACAAAGTACAACAAAGTTTTGTACGTCAATAAATCAACTTACAAAGTACGTAATAGTAATCAAAAGACACATATTAATAAAGTATAATCATTCTAGTTTTTAAAAAATATCTATGTTAATATGAAATTCTAAAAAACAAGGCAACAAAACACTGCACAACCTACCTCTCCAAATGTGAACTTCAAAAAGCGTGGCACAGAATTTTAGCACATTTATCGGTTCCGTAAAACGCGGATATCGGCGTACCTATTTTTTATGATAAATGTTCTATTCAATTTTAGTTCTGTTAAGTTGTTTTTGTCTTTTTGTTGTAGTTTTTTTTTTAGAATTATTAGAATATGTAAATAATGTAATATAAATAATGTTTATAAATTCTTTTATATTTACTTTATTATTTCATTTAAATTACTACATTATAAGCCAACAGGTTTGACTGGCAATATAAATAATGTTGTTCATCGTTTATATTGTTTATAACATCGTCAGTTTTTATATGCATTTAATATTTTTAAAAATAGTTCAAAAGCTGTCAAAATAAAATGGTGAATTGAGTTAAAACCAGAAAAGATATAAACGTAATCTTTGGGATTCAACTTGTAAGGATGTTCCAAGAACCACTTAGTTGGAGAAGGAAAACTGTGGTAATATTTTATAAGTATCAGTAAGGGAATTTACTTAATGCACAAGATTTTACTTCATAGTTAAATATAAGCATATAAAAGCAATGTTTACAAATAATACACTATTATTTATTATAATACAATTATTTTTATTTGTTTATATTTAACTGATGTAAAGTGCTCGTCTTTAGTTAAAATAAATTAATTTTTGCACACACTTTGATATTTACTATGCTTTTACATTACTATACTTTATAAATTACATATTTGTTATGTTTTAAATAGTGAAGTAAAAATATAATAAATTTTTGAATTTAATGGTATGTGCGTAAGTTCTTTTATTTTAACTTTATCATTTTATTTAAATTACTGCATTATAAGCAGGTAAGTTTGACTGACAATATAAATAATGTTGTACATCATGCAGACAGCTCAGACAAAGAAGTAAGTTTTTACTTAAAATTACAATTTATAAGTTATACTATATTTGTTGCTGCCTTATTCTATATAAATGTTACTAACATGCAGGTAAAATTTATATATGTGTATAAATCTTTTCATTTTAACCTTATCATTTCATTTAAATATAAATTTTTAATTTATTTATTTAGCCGTTCATTAACAAGTCCTGTGCTTTATAATATATTAAAAAATGGAAGGACGTGAAGAAAACAGGTTTGTAAATGATGTTGTACATCATGCAGATAGCTCAGAAGAAGAAGTAAGTTTTTTTTTTAATTACAAAAGTAAATATATAATATAATATTTGTTGCTGCCTTGTTCTATATAAATGTTTCTAACATGCAGGTAACATTTATATATGTATTAGTTTGAATAAATCATTTTAGTAAAGTTACATTATAGGCAGGAATGTTTGACTGGAAATATAAACGATGTTGTACATAATGCAGATAGCTTAGGCAAAAAAGAGGTAACAATCTAATAATTTGTATTTATAAATAATGATATATTCATTGCTACTTTTTTCTATATACCTAACATTTGGCAACATTCATAATTGTGTATAATGCCTAATTATAAAGTAAGTTATAATAGATAATAATTATAAGTAAAATGAATTAGTAAATAAAGAAAACTAGTTAGAATGTATATAATAGTTGTATGATGTATTGTCTAGATTGGTGAAATGGAGAATGAGACTAACTAGGGTGAAAAAAAATGAATATTAATATGTGAATGGTACTTTGTTTAACATCTACCTGTTTCTACAGATACAGTACAGACGCATTTATAAATGGGCTTGATGTTTTTTTGAATTAAATATGTTGTATTGATGGTTCTTTTTAACTTGTTAAAACTTGAAGTTATTATCAAATTTATATATACTATTTTTATCAAATAGTTAATATAAAATAATAAACATGTAAATTGTTTTATTTTTTGTAAAAATTGTTTTCTTGATAAATTTCAATTGTTTATCACTATGTATATCACTTATAGTATTATATTACTTGTAATTTTTTGTTTTATTTATTTTCAGTATGTTATACATATGCGTGCATTAAATATTGTGGGGAAGTCAAGTTTTGATGTTTTAGGTGCATTATAGCTATTATTTTTCAAAGATTTGTAGGATTTAACAAGATTTAAATTTTATTTTGTTTATTGATTTTATTTGAAGAAAGCGATCTCATAGATTAAGAGAACTCAATAATAGTGGGATAAAATTTGCTTTTATGATTTAATATGACAATTCAAATAACATTAGATAAAAAACTTGAAAACAAATCATGCTTTTTTATCATGAAAAATCCATAAGTTTTCATTGGAAAGGTGTTCCTAATACCTATGGAAATTAAATGGTTTTTCCATGGATGGAAAATCATTGAATATCCATGGTATTTGGAACACTTTTCCATGAAAAACTTAAAGATTTTTCATGGGAAATTCATGTGTTTTCCATGGAAAACTCATGGTTTTTCCATGGAAAACTCATGGTTTTTCCATGGAAAACTCATGGTTTTTCCATGGAAAACTCATGGTTTTTCCATGGAAAACTCATGGTTTTTTCATGGAAAACTCATGGTTTTTTCATGGGAACGTGTTCCAAATACCCATGGTTTTTCCATGGGTTTTTTTTCTAAAATTCCCATGGGAAATTTTCGTACGGGAAATTGGGTGTTTAAAATCATAAGGCAGTTTTGAATTTTGTAACCGTCCTTTACAACAAACTACTTTATCATTGTCAACAAAGAGACTCAAAGTGTTGTTCAGAATTTTTACTTTGTTAGAAAGGTCACACTGGTAGGTTCGAATCCAAAGAATTTCAGCTTTTCGAATATCTGCAATGCAAAGAGATTTTATCTGCTTATTGGCTTTATTTATAAGATGCTTAAGATTAATTATAAGTTTTAGCACATAAGCTGTAACTTTGAAAAGTTTGTGCAATGAACTGATTTTCTCAACATTGATTACATTACGCAGATTCAAGAGCTTCTTTTACTTCACGATATTCTGTACTGAACTTCGTAGAGACCTTTGGGGTTGCATTTACGACCACGCTAAGATTTGATATTTCATCTTGATAAAGAAACTCAGGTCCATTCATCCAATTTTCAAACCAATTACCAGATTTTAAGATTGCGAGGTCCGTTGAGGCAGATCGGCTTGGTTGATTTTACCAGGGCAGAATCTCCAGTGATTAGGTGGAATGTTTTTCTTTATTTTCGTTATTCTATTTGTAATGAATTGGTTTCTGCTTACAGAACTATTCTTTATTCAACATAAAGCCTCCATTGCTTTGCTCCAACAATAATTATTCTCTATTTTGAGGTTACTTTTTAAAGACTCAATTACACATGCCATAAGTGAAGATAGCAGTAGGTAAGAAGAAAATTCCAATTTAGGAATGGATATAAGTTTTAGCGGAGAGATCTTTGTTTTGCTGGCAATAAGTCTACCTAGGACCTGTTTTGCTGGCATCTCAAAAGCCATGTATATGTTAGTTAGTTATAGTTATGTTAGTTAAGTATTTTATTAAATGTTCTTTAAAGAAATAACGATGCCACTCATTTACAAGATTACAAGATAATAACTGCATTAACTGGTTTCACTCATTTCAATTCGTCATTTAGCTCCTTGTTCCAATCTTTTATTGTAGTGCATATATTTTGAAAAATGAGCTTTAGTGGTAAAATTAAAGAAGAAATGATTCCAATTCGGTCATATATAGATGCAATAATTTTTAGAACATTTCTCTTTGTGACTCTTTCGTTTGTTCCAGCTTCATGATGTTTAGTTAGATTAATTGACAATTTATCATGACCAGTGTCCCATGTGATGCTTAGGATTTTACTTTCTGTACTTGGGTGATCTTGTGGATTGAAAGATGATATCTTTGATACAAAGCAACTATTATTTGAATGTAATTTTCTAACGTTTAACCCTGCTGTCTTTAGACGTGATTTTGCTTTGAGGCAAAATTCGAATACCTCATTTGATATATCTCCTCCTGCAATGCTATCGTCAACATATAAATTTTTCAAAAAATTGTTCACAAATTCTGGATCGCAATGTTTGTATTAATATAAATATTTTATGATAGATACTAATAATAAGAATTGTGACGAGTTCATACCAAATAGTACACTAGTATAGCGATAAGAGATAACTTTTGGATTGCTGTTGTTTACATTGTCGAACCACAAGTATCTCAAAAAGTCACGATCATTTTTGTTTACAGCAATTTTAAGAAATGCTTTCTCGATAACACTAGCCACTGCTATTTTGTAAGTCCCAAATCTTATAAGAATGTCAATTAATATAAGAAGCAGGCAAGGACCCTTTTCCAAACAATCATTTAATGAAGAACTATTTGACGATGCATCGAAGACAATTCGTAGTTTTGTGGTAGACTTTTCCTCTTTGATTACTGCATAATGTGGAAGATAATGGACTTGTCCTAAGAGTGGGGGAATATTTAAGTCAAAACTTGTTTTTATTTCATTAATATCTTCTAATTCCCAGAATTTACTAAGACTGACAAGATTGTCAGAATTAACTATGATTGGTTCAGAAGATGAATCAAAAACATATGCTACATTTACAGAGGCAGAATTAGTTGATTTAACATTTCAGTTTTTTTTTTTTAATTACCTAATTCTGTGTGCTGAAATTTTGCTAGGTCGATTTGTTGATTGATAATAGGAGAGCATATGATTGGTGCAACATATGCTTCGATTGTAGAATAATGATTGGTTTGGATGTTTTTAATTTTAATACTGACAAGGTCAAATTTTCGAGATTTTTTACAACTTTTTCCAAACACTTTTACATTTAGAATTTTGTTTCAAATAGTTTTTAGATTTAACTTCTTTCTTAGATCAGATGTCACAAAGAAATTTTGAGAGCTATTATCAAATAACACTTTTCCAACAATTTTAGTTTTCCTTATTGAGTTGTTTGTGTCTGATATTTTAGCATTTGCAGTTTGTAGGAGAATATTGTCTTGACAACCAACAACATTGACTGAGGTGTCTGGTATGGTTTTATCTGAATTTGAATTTTTTACGTGAACTCCAGCATTGTTTTTTTTATCACAAATTGAAATATGATGCTTACCATTACACTGAAAACAAATATTTTTTGAAGAACAATTTTTTACAGAATGTCCT